ATAGATAGATAGATAGATAGATAGATAGATAGATAGATAGATAGATAGATAGAAGGTTTACAACAGGTCAGCATCATCTCTCACAACCATAACTGCCTAGGGCAGGTCTAAATATGGATCTTCACAATAAGCCATGCCTCCCTGTCATTGTGCTCTTAGACCTGGGCTCATCTATGACATGGAGAAAACCCAAAGCTAGATCACAGGGAGCCCTGCACCTGCTCTCTACATCTCCTGGGTATGCTGGCTCATCTGTGCTTTAAGAAGTAGGATCAACCCCACAAAGTAGCCATATGGAAGTCTGCACAGAATAAAAGCTATCCAACTGATCTCCAGGTGCCTTTGCCATTCTACCTGAGCACCAGACAAAGCAGGAAAAAAGCTACCTTGTACACTACGCCACAATATACATCATATGGATCCTTCTACACCCAGCTGACATAAATACCCAGACATTCAGTCCCAACAAAGGCATGTTGGTAGTCAGCCCCAAGGGCTCATGAGTCCTTCCTTGCCTCTTGGCAGCTGTGCTCTGTGGGGTGCTTTCCCATTCTGTACTCATGTGTGAGCAACAGCATGTGGCAGTGAGAGCACGTCTCGTCCAGACTGAGACGCTAGGGCATCTTTCTGTGCTTTCTTTCTCAGATCACTTGCTCAAGGGAGGCGTTTCTCGGTGAGAAAGGATGATGGGGCTCTTGAGGAACTGCTGTCTCTGGCCATGAGACAGTAAGGAACAGGGACAGCCAATATCCATGTGAGTGGCCTTGCAAGTGGACCACCTAGTTCCAGTGACTGCAGCCCTGGCTGACGGCTTGACTAAAAGCTCATGAGGACGCTGCTCCTGGATTCCTGGTCTATAGAAACAGAAAATAAACCTTTGTTTTGCTAAGCTGAAAAAAATATAGCACGCTTTGTATCACAGCAGATAATTAATACAAGTCATCACAACCATCTCCAGCTGTTATTTCATCATATCCTCCAAACACTAAGCATATTACATATTAAAATGTACCAATTTAGCAGAAAAAAATACCTTTAAGATAAAATACCTTACTAATAGTAAAGATGAGCACCTTCTTGTTTACTGCCTATTATCGAACTTTTGTTAGTTTATGGTCCTTTTGTTATTGAGTTATAGATTTTATCTGAGTGGAGATACAACATCAATTACCAGTTATATAGCTGTAATTATTCATTTGTCATTTGCTATGTCTTTAATTATGGTATATATTTTTATTTTAATTTACATGTAGTTAAGTTTGTAAGCTTTCTCCATGCAGTCAATGAGTGTGATTCTTTTGTATGAAGGCCAGTAGGTTTGAATCTCTTCTATTATTACCAGAAAGCTTAAATCTTTTATACTATAGCCAATGGGTTTGAGGAAAGGGCTTGGGGACATAGCAGGTATGTGCTCTGGCTGCTCTTCTAGAGGACCCAGGTTTGATTCCCAGCAGCCACCTGGTGATTCACAACTGTCTATAACTTCAGTTCCAAGAGAACTAATGGGTAGAGGGTTCTGCAGTCTGCAGTCATGACCCAGACGCAGAGGAAGCAAGATGTGACTGCCTGGTCGAATAAGGTACCGAGCCACATGGCTAGCATAGACAAGAATAATGGGTTAATGTACGATGTAAGAAAGAGTTAATAAGAAGAGCCTGAGATACTGGGCCAATCAGTTTATAATTAAAAAAAAAGAGAGCGAGAGAGAACTAATGACCTTTTCTGGCCTCTGTGGATACCATGCTTGTAAATGGTATACAGACATACATGCAGGCAAAACATTCACATACATACATATATAAATAAATAGATAAATATTTAAAGGTTTGTCAAAATAATCTGGGCCTGATTCAAAGTCTCCAATTTTTCCCAAAGCAAGTAAGGATTACAGCACGGCAAGAGTCTAGGGTAAGAATCTACCTAATTAAAATTATCCAAATTTTGTTCCAGAAAGAAAATGTCCAAGCAGCCAAACTACCTAACATCACAGCTAGTCAAGATGAAGGCAGAAACTGAATAGATAAGGCCATGGGTTCTCTTACCCTAGGCTTGATCTGGTGAAGGGATGAAGGGATTCAGAGTGGAGAGGATGGGGGAGAAGAGAACAAATCAGTCAGCTCCAGCATGTGCTGCTAGAACTGTGGCATGGTCTTACAGGTAGGCAACGTGGTGCAGGCATGGAAATTAACAGAGAGCAGGACCCTAAGAGGCTGAAGGAGGTAGACAGCCAATGGTGCTCACCTGTTGTTGGGATTTACTGTTAATGGTATCAATCATTTAAAAATATTCTGCATTGTCTAAACTTCCTATAAAAAAGAATTTAGATTAAAATAAAGTTTGTAAGAAAAGAAGAAAACGGAGGGAGGAAAAGAGATAAAACCAAGAGAAGAAAATATTAACATGGTGACTTTGAAAGAAATGAAGACTATTTCTATACAGAAGGCTAAAACTGAGCAATTTTAAACTTGTAACTATTCTTAATTTTAAAATACCACATTGAGGGCCTTTTTTTTTTTCTCTTGTCCCATTTCTTTTTCAATGTAGCAGTCATTCAAAACAGCACAAGAAGCCAGGAAGGCATTGTAGCTAGTTACCTGTAACCCAGCCTGGGAACTGTAGTTGGGGGTCCCCAGAGCAAGTCAAATAGCAAGATTATCCATATCTGTGCACTCAGGATTTGGCTGAGAGAGTTTGTCTCAGTGAATACAGTGGAAGAGAAACTGAAGATGATTCTTGACATCTAGCCTCAGTGTAGGGTGAAGGGGACAACTGGAGCAGGAAACCAACTGATCACTGTGCACCCTGACTCTGAACTCAGAGCCAGTAAAATAAACACACCCTGGATCTGAGACCTGAGTCAGGGAAAGAAACATTCCTATCCCTGAACCCAGGACTAAAGACATGTGCCCAGACTCTGAAACCAGTGCCAAAGAAACACACTTTGTCCCTAGAATCAGAGCCAGTGTTGGGGGGGGAACAGCCCTGGTACTAAGATTAGAGTCAAAAAGCTAAAAAGGATCAGTGAAAGAAACACAGTTTGGCCATGAAATCAGACCCATCTCTGCCCCTGACCAACTAAACTAACCAATCCCTGAGCAGAGAAAAACTAACCAACTCTTCTCCCTGGGAAAACTCCGCCCCTAAGAAGCACTATAAGCCACTCTGCCTGTTCAGTTAGGGGCCA